TTACTTTGATTAAACAATTCAGAGGTGAATTTTATACTGATAACTATATTCTATGCACACAGAATGTTTTAATTACCTATTCATTCAGAACAAAATTTTCTTACAGTATGCTAATCCAATTCTTCATCTGTCACTAGATTTCCAGGATTAATAAAATATGTAAAGCAGGAAATCATAACACATATTTTAGTATTTTCCCTACATCTAAGCACTAATTTAACAAGTAGCAATATCCTAAAATCACCTTAATCTAATGTAGATCTTCCACAACCTGCTTCTCAGAATCCTAAAGTCCCTTACAGTATTAAGAGGTGTCCCAGAGAAAGCAATGCTAAGTAAAACACCTGAAGCAAATTTCTTTACTACTACAGAGAGTTCTGTAAATTAAAATATGACGTTGATCTTCCAAGAGAATTATAGCTACACAGTTCCTCAAATTCACTTGAAGTTGTCTTCCCAAGAATTATCAAATCCTGCTAGAAAGCAGCACTGAGCAGAACTCAGCCTGAAAGCTGCAGAACAGAAGCACCTTGATCACACTGGCCACAACCCACAGATGGCTAGAGCATGATGAAGGTGAGAAGCAAGAGGTCAGCTGTGATCATTACAGGGAATTTCCATGGAAAGCATGATAAAAGACCTGCAGTCTAAAGGATCTGTAGTGTTCATCACTAAAACAGCCATCAAACATGCTGAAAATCCTAAAATGGGATTATACCTATTAATTTTTGATACTGTTAATTTCATTCATGTTTTACTCTTAAATATTCTCAGTTTATTTGAGCATGAAGATATATAATTACCAATGTTGCACATTTCAGATTAAAGGAAAAATACTTTTGAATAGAATCTCATACTTGTCTGAAAAGCTTTATGTTTAAACTTGATTCTGTATACATATTTCTAATTCTGTGGCTCAGTGAACAGAACATACAATCAATGCTATATGTGGTCTTAGTGTCTGTGTTATCTGTGTAAATATCTACTAAGACAAAAATAAGGGATTTTAAGAGTTCAATTAAAATTAAGACCAAAAGTTGGGGTCTGGAAAGATGGATCAGAGGCTAAGCTCACTGGCTGCTCTTGCAGAGGACCCAAGTTTGGTTCCTAGCACCCACATGGTAGCTAGCAACCATCCATAACTCCAGTTCCAGGGGATCCGATGCCCTGCTCTGGCCTACACAGGCATTGCACAACACAGGTGCACTTATATCTATGCAGTCAAAACACTTGTACACATAGAATAAAAATTAATTTTTAAAAAATAAAAAAATCAAGACCAAATGTTGAGTCTTTTGTAATCCCAGTGTTGGGGAAGGAAGATTCCTAGGGCTTGCTGGCCAGACAGCCTAACCAAAACAGTGAATTCCACGTTCAGTAAGGGATGGTATCAAAAATAGGAAGTCAAGGTCATCTTTGGTTACATTTTTGGCTTGGGCTAAGGAAAACCCCATCTCAAAAACAAACAAGATAAAGATGCTCTATTTAGAGATGAAGGCTCCTCTGACAGATAACTTTAAGTAGCAACAACTCCTTCCATGACTTTTCTTCTGTGTGATAAGTACACATATGTTTTAGTTTTGAGCCTGAGTGCTGTTTTCTCCTGTGGCAAGTCAATTTAAATTCTCACCTAACATGTTTAGCTTGAGCCTGAGTGCCTGGAGGGTGAGATAACAAAACAGATAAGGAAGTTTGTTATCTTAGAAGTTGAATGCAATGCTTGTGTGAAAATCCCTGCATGATAGAACGTTGGGGATTCTATGTTTTTGGGGGTGTCATTCAAGATAGAAAAGAAAAGGGGGTGAAATGCCGATACATAGGGGAACATTCCCAGGACTTGAAGGCCTTGGGGGATTCTGCCCTAGTCTATACTGCAAGCCTCGAAGACTCAGACAAAAAGTAAAAGAAGGAAAGAGGAGAGACTGCTGATCCTCAAGAGTGGGATGGCCAAGGCAAAGCTGCCACTACCATATTGGAGAGAGGGGTACTCATAAACTTGATGCATTCCAGGAGCCTCACGTTCAGGGACCAGCTATGGGTCTCTCCCTCCCCTCATGGGCCATTGGCCACTGACCCATGAAAACAATGGGAGCAGAAGCAACAAATGGGATCAGGACAGCCAGTGAGTACAACAGAAAAGACCTTCTGGGGAGGCAGATTCAGTGATACAGCTCCATTTATTCAGTGGGGGTCAGGGGAAAATATAGTGTGGAGGAAGCAGCCAAAGCTTCAGCTGATAGGTGTGCATAGTATGCTTTATTTACAGGTGGAAGGGGGATCCTATCATCTGGCTATAGAGCAATGCCTAATTATCATATAGAAAAAAACTGGGGGCAGTTTTATTGCAGATAACTAAGCAAAAGGTCATGTTCCAAATAAGGCCAAGTATCCATGCTTGAAGGTACTTTCCAGATAAGTCAGGCAGGAAGCCCCTGCAGAGAAAGGAGTCGACCTTAACAGCAGGGTTCCCCAATATAGGTCTAGGAAAGGTTTATATAAGAACAACTGGTCTTTGCCCAAGCTTTATGTACATGGGACATGATAATTGAAAGTACCTGATTGGTGGAACTAACCTTGGATGTTTAACAGACATACTTGGAGACCTATACTAATTGGTTCAGAGGGACATGAAGGACAGTTTTTGCTCCTTGCCCTCCTAGGTTGATTAGTTCCATAGGACTATGAGCTGCTCTCAAAATGTCTTGTAACCGTGGTGAGTCACCTGTCCTCTTGATAAAGGAGGCCAGGAAGACCCCACGAGATGGATTCGAACCAGCGTCCAGTCTACAAAGAGGAGGGTCAACACAGAGGAAAAATTTCCTTCATGTTTCCAAGCAAAGCCAGCCACGGTAGAGTAGAGCCTTTGACTCATCTTCACATAGACAGAACTGGCAAAAGAAAGGAGCCAGGGGCTCCTCCAAAGCCCATGTGACCCATGAGGAAGAGATCCTCAAATGACCTTATGAGTAAAAATAAATTGGTTTATCTGGGACAACTCTATGGCCTAAAATACCAAAAGGAAAGTATAACCAAAGAGTCATCAGTATACTTCTTTAAGAGTTCAAGGGATTACACTTCCCAGACAGTCTTAAGTCTATATAAAAAGTTATTAAGACAATTATTTCTCATTGATGATTTTATTCTTGTGCTGGATGGCTTTAGTGTCAACTTGACACACCTGGGTTGAGGGAGCCTCAATCGGGGAATTTCCTCCATTGGACTGGCCTGTGGCCATGTCTGAGGGGCATCTTCTTGATGAGTGATGTGGGAGGGCCCAGCCCACTGTGGGTGGTGCCACCCCTGGGCAGGTGGGCCTGTGTTGCATAAGAAAGCAGGCTGAGCAGGGGCCAGGGGAGCAAGCCTGTAAGCAGCGTTCCTCCATGGTCTGTGCTCCAGCTCCTGCCTCCAGGTTCCTGCCCTGAGTTCCTACCTTGGGCTCCCTGATGAACTGCGTGTGACCTGGGAGATGTAAGACAAATAAACCCTTTCCTCCCCAAGTTGGTACTGGTCAGAATGTTTTGTCACAGCAATGAAGAACAAACTAAGACAATAGATTAAAACAAACAGTAAATATATGTAGCAATTAAGAAACGATGGCTGGGGCTGGAGAGGTAGCTTAGCAGTTAAGAGCACTGGGGGCTTTTGCAGAGAACCAGAGTTCTGCTCCCAGCACCCATATGGCAGCTAACAACCACACATAACTCCTGGTCCAGGGTATTTGACCACCCTCTTTCTGACCTTTGCGGGCACTGCAAACATGTGGTACACTTATATACACACATGCGAAACACTCCTACTTGTAGAATAATAATGAAAAATTTAAAAAATGGATGCCAAGAGAAGACATGAGAAGTTCTTAAAACAATTCCCAAGTTAACTATTTAGTATATGAACACTTGAGGTGATTATATTTTTAATTTTCAAACTACCTGTGCTCATCCAATGTTTCTGCTTTGTTTTTTAAATATATGTATTTTTTATTTTATGTACATGAGTGCATTGCCTGTGTGTATGCAAGTGCATAAGTATCATGCAGTGTCCACAGAAGTCAGAAGAGGGTGTCAGATTCCCTCAGAATTGGAGTTACAGACAGTTGTCAGTCACCATGTGGTAGTGGGAATCAAACTCAGGTCCTCTGCAAGAGCAACCAGTGCTCTTAACCACTGAGTCATCTCTCTAGCCCCTACTTTTTTGTTTTTGAGATATGGAGGATCTTACCAATTACACTGCACAGGCTGTTGAAAACTCATGATCATCCTGCCTCAGCCTTGTGAGTCCTGAGATTACAGTGTGTCAACCAACCCTCACATGAATATACTTTTTAAATTAAATATTTAGAACAAGGATGTTCCCCTTTTAAATTAAAAATTTACTTTTTAAAATATTTTAATTATTTTTATTTTATGTGTATAAGTGTATTGCCTGCATATTTGTAAATGGACCCATGTCATGCGATGCCTGCAGAAGTCAGAAGAGGGAGTCAGATACCCTGGAACTGGAGTTATGGATGGTTATAAGCCACTAACTATATGGGTGCTGGGACTCAAACCCAGGTCCTCTGTAAGAGCAGCCAGTGCTCTTAACTGGTAGGCCATCTCTCCAGGCCCTGCTTCCCTTTTTAACCCTATAAAACAAAGAGGTTATTTTCTCAATTTAAAAAGTATATAGAACAATTACTTTTCAATGCAAAAACCAAAAAGGGTAAAGTACCATTGATAAAACAGATTGTTAGGTGAAATTATTCTATCACCTATCAGGGAGTATACTGGCATTCATTTCCCCTCTTACACTTGCCCTATTAGGACACACTGAAGGGTCAAAAATCTTTTGGATTTTGTTAGGTTAAATTTAACAATGGCTAACAACCCAAGGAGTGTCTAGGTTGATATTTAGTTTGTGAGCTAAATATAAATATAAACAAAGTATCACTGTGCTATTTTGTACTCTCTGAAAGCAAACACAAGAAGTCAACTGAAAGGTACACACCACACTAGCGAATGCTTGGCTAGACCCATATGGTCGAATGACCAATGGGATGTCCAGGTATGTATCGATCCTCCAGCCTTCATAACCACATTCCAGACACCTCACGTAGTCCTTCAGCTTGCCTTGATACAGCTCATTTATGAGATCAGCCTGTAAATAAGAACACTGAAGTTTTTACAATGTTTTTTACAAGTAATTTTTAAGATACACATAAATACAATTCATGATTTTAGAAGAATCACAAAATGATACTGAGTTTTATTATTAAAGTCTTAGAAAAATCACCTGAAAAAATTAAATTATCATATTTAAGTACCAATGTAGGGGCTGGAGAGATGGCTCAGCAATTAAGAGCACTTGTTGCTCTTACAGAGGACTCAGGTTCGATTCCCAGCACCCACATCAGGCAGCTCAAAATGGCCTATAATTCCAGTTCCAGGGGATACAACACCTTCTTCTGGCCTCCCTCCACAGGTACTGCACACACATGATATACATACATACATGCATGCAGAAAAAAACATTCATCACAAAAAAATAAATCTTTTTTTTAAAAAGAACCAATGTGTAAAAATCAACTATTTCAATATTCACTAACATCTCAGCTATTAAATAGGTTTTGATAAAATCAGTTACCAACTTATATTACTAAGTCTTAGATTCTCTTTTCATTAGGCTGTATATATCCTAATCTATCACTTTAGGCATGACATTACAGAGCTAAATTTGTGCTTTTGATAGCTTTACATATATACGCACAATACCACTCTCACAGTAACATATTCTGAGATATAAAATCCTTATGTGCTAGCTTAAGATGCAAACAAAAATTTTCAATTTCAGTAACAAGTAGAAAACAATTTAAAGAAAAATTCTTTAACATAAGAGATTTCAAATATCTTAAAAATTAATCTCCCTCAAAATATCCTCACCTAAAAGAATGCATCTCTCACCTATTTCTCAAACAGCCACTGGGGCTCTTCTGGCTCAAAGTAGACAGGTAATTCCCTAAGTAAGGACCCTTCACATGAATGTCTTGCCTCAAGATTCTTGTACCAAATTTTTAGGAACTCAGTAGAATGCCCCAGCTGATCTTAATGGAAGTGTTGACTCAGAGAGGGATGGAAACAAGGAGGAAGAGTAACTTCGGACCTATGAAGAAGAAACAGCCCCTAATACCATCTATATAAAATCACCAAAAGTCCCACAGGATCAAGCAGAAAGCTAAATCACTAAAAGAACTTAAAATTGTTTTCATTATCTCTCAAGCACAATAGGCCAGAGAGAAAACAGTATAGTTTATTTCCTTCATAAGTTAACACCTTTAAAAGTGCACAGGACCCACATGCCTTCAAGTTGGATACACCAATGCTATCTATTTTACTATGATCCTGCCCCAGTCATATGATTATGTCTATGATTGTATCTAGGGCTTTTCAAAAGGGTTCAAACCAGTGTTTATAAAAATCTGATATACACACTCAAAAGACAATTTCTATCACAACCCAGCACATGTAAGTGTGAGACAATACTTATCCATATTTATGTGACATACTTCTATTTTTCTATTCAGTTTTTTTTTTTTAAGTTCAGGTGTAGACTCCCTAAAACTGATTTCATAACTTATAAATGCATTACAAGCTACTGCCTGGAAGATTCTCAGCTATGCCATCACATCATTCCAGTCAGAAACCAGACCCTCACACTGCCGTCTATGCTCTTCCTGAGTTACTAATCACTATTCCCGTTACCAGCCCTCCTCCACACTGACTCCCACAGAGCCGAGCCACTAAGAACAGGGCAGATAAATAAGGACCTTAAATGTCAAAAGCACATGACCATACTTGGTTGGATAAAATGAAGATAGAGCTCAATGAATATACTTTATAATGTGTTACAGATTATAATTTACTTTAAAAAATGAAAATATTGCTCACCCCCCTAAACTATAAATATAAAAAACTATATTTATCTATATATCTCTCTATATAATTCACACCTTTTGAGAGGAAAAAGACCTTTTTAATTATACAGACCAATTCCTTTATTTTGAATTTGAGGTCTGGGGTACCTTAATTGAGGATGCTTAGGACTCAGTTAATGGCTAGTTAGTAATTGCACTTCCAGATGCAATGCTTTAGCTGTGAAACTGATGCCCAAGTTTTAAAACATTCCAACAGAATAAAAGTCATTACAAGTTAATGAACGACTTCTTAGAAAAGTCCCTGAACTCGAGATGGAGTTACCTGTTCTGTTTGCTTCCATTTCTGTTCCAGAGCGTCAAACATGACTCGGCACAGTTCTTGTACATCATGCTGTTGCCAAGCTATTTTAAAATAAAATTTAATTAAAAATAGTAATGAACAGCATTATGAAACATTATGCTATTGTATCAATAGAATTTTCAACATGCATGTATTGCGTGCATGTAGGTAAGGGCACCCGTGTTGTGCAATGCCCGTGGAGGTCAGAAGAGGCTGTTGGATCCCCTGGGACTGGAGTGTTAGCTGCCATGTGGGTGCTGGGATTCAAACCTGGGTCTTCTGCAAGAACAGCCAGTGTTCTTAACACTGAGCCATCTCTCCAGCCCCCATAACTGTATGCTTTTTAAGAACACAAAAATACAATTACCATCATGAGACGACAATCCCCAGGAAGATTATCAAATTAGTACTTATATACAGCATTAACTTTTAGGTGCTAGAGTATTTGTTAAACAGGGTATAAACAGGGGCTGAAGAGATGGCTCAGTGGTTAAGAGCACTGGATGCTCTTACAGAAGATCTGGGTTCAATTCCCAGCATCTACATAGCAGCTAACAACTATCCGTACTTCAGTTCCAGAAGATCTGACACCCACGTCTGGCTTCTGTGGGCATTGTCCAAATGGGTGAGTTTACATACATGAGGCAAAACACTGGAACACATAAAATACAATAATAAAGCAGAATAAAAGAAAATAGTCTAACAAAACTTATTGTACAAGAAAACCTTAACTGGTCAAAATGTCTCTCTCCAGAGCTCAGTGTGGTGGTGCACACCTTTAATACCAGCACTCAGGAGGCAGAAGCAGGTGGATCTCTGTGAGAATGAGGCAAGCCTGGTTTACATAGGAACTTCCAGGCCAGCTGGGGCTACAGAGAGACCTTGACTCAAAACAACAACAACAACAAATATTTAAAATGAAATTATATTAAAATCCAAGCAAAAAGAAGTATGTTTCAAGTAAAGATAATTAAGTTGTTATTATGTGTCACATATTTGTAATGTAACTGTCTTCCAGACATCTTTTGAATATTAGAAGTACATTATTATGAAAAGACATGGTACCCTCGCTACTATCCCAGCCAAAGCTCCTTGTAACATCTGTGGTCTCAATTGCTCTCTTTTTGCTGGTTTGCAACAAAACAAAAAGTCTTTGAAGTTGATATGGGATACTTGTCACTGGATCTTCTTCAGATTGTTCAAATTCCCACCTGTAAAGATGAAATATAAGCAAACTATATATAAAATGATTTCATTCTTTAAGACATCCTTAATATCAAAATCTTAATTCTAGGAGCTATACCGAGTTTGCATATTAACCAAACTTAGGAATAGCTAATGAAACAATCTTTCTCTAATTTATATTTAGGAGAACTGAAGGTATAAACAAACCAGCACAAGGTGGCACCAGTTACCAAGCACAGAAGGCAAAGCTCACTTAAAAGTAAGTTTCAAATCTGAATATGGCTAAAACTCATCTTAATTATTAGTTCACAAAACCCAGAACAATATTCAGCAACACTAAAGCATTCAAACATTAAAACTCAAACTGGAAAAGACACCACCAGTTTTCAATTTTTACACTTTCAGGGAATAAATTACAAAGAGTAAAAGAATGAAAAGCAGAGCAGACTAAGGAGCAGAATGACCAACTGCAGTACACGGCTCTGCTTGGATCCTGGCTAGAAAAAAATGTTTTTAAAATGATGTGGCCCTCCTAAGAATTAACAGGTGACAGGATGGGGCTGTGCCTGCCAAGTCCTCAGGATGGAAGGTTATAGATAAAATGGCTGTATCACCAATTGGCATTCTTCAAGGCTAGGCAATGACAACAGATGAATTCATGATACTACTTTATTTTTTAATGTTTCAAGTTTTCAATAATAACACATTTTTTAAAAAGTATTATAAGTAATCAAGACAATCCAGGTAATTAAGTAATCCTCATAAGTTTATAAATGATCTAGCTCTAGCTACAGGGACTGTCTCAACAAGTGATCTCTCAATTAAGGAACTTTAGATTGCATGGCAGAGAAATCTGAGTAATTAAAGTGGTTAATATGATCACAAAAGTTCTCAAGATGATTCCACATTTAACAAAGCACCAAGCCCACAACAGTGAAAATAATATTAATGGCATCTTATATCTGAAACTGGCATATAAGATTACATAATTCCTCTTGACTTCCTCACTTTTTTAGTTTCAAAAGGAAGCATGACCATCTACCTCTGTTACAGTTTACAAATGTTAGTTTTGAGTACACCCCTGTTAGTGTTCAGTATTTTTCTTACTTTAGGATGAAAAAGTCCTAATTCTGTGATCCTACACCTCTTTTACCCATTGGCATATCACACACAGACAGGCGATTCCCTCTTTCTTCTCTTCCCCTCTGACATCACATCTGCTTTAACCCTCCCCTACTCTACTTAGTCCCCAGCTCTCCTGTTCCGGTTACCCTCGTGAAAGTACTTGGAACTGACATTACAGGAGCTCAGATTATATCACAACCTTAAGTTGTTGTTGTTAAGTCTTGTCAATACTTGCAATTCACCAGTTACCTAAAGTTAGAAACTGTGCTGACACATTCACTTCTTCCATTTCTTTTATTACAGAACAGAAGCTGCCATTGCACATTCTCAGTTTTCACTCTGAAATTCCGTAACCTTCCACCATCATCATTCTAGCCCTCATGCATCAGTGCCTGGTTTAATGATCGACTCCACCAAAGATATCTATCTTCCAAACTGCACTATGTAAGCTTTCTCAAAGCAATGTATTTAATATGTCACAATCCCCCAAATCAAAGTAGAAGGGTCTACAGGGATCTCTATACAAGGGAAGAAGATAAAGCTCTGTCCCTTCATGCTGGTGTTACCCTGTATAATCCAGTGCAGTTCCCAGGTCTATATTACAAGTCCCCAGGTCTACATCAGTGCTCTCAGGTTTGGGCTATAAACGTCCATCTATTTTCTCAATCTCAAAGGATCTGGTCCTCCTCTTTGAACTTATGTTTTATGCTCATCCCCATTCACTAAACTCCAATCACAATGGATTTTACTAGTTCCTCCAAAGGCTTTTGCACTTAGAGCTCTTATGCCTTCAATGGTTCTGGGCTAGCTCCTGCAAAGACTAACCTAAAGGTTACTTCCCTTCCTGACCATCTAAGCTGTGATACAGCTTGCCTCTACCTCGTAACAGAGTTACTGCCTCCACCTTGCTTCGTTATCATCATGGCATCCTTAACTGTGTATTTATATTTATATAGGATTCCCTATGGGAGCCCTAAAGAAGGGACTCTGTCTTATTAACACTGTGAATTCTGCCTAATAGAATGCTTGGTGTGTGGTGTCTAAAACAGTCTGGGTTGGGGGCTGGAGATGGCTCAGTGGTTAAGAGCACTGGCTGCTCTTGCAGAGGACCCAAGTTCAATTCCCAGCACCCACATGGCAGCTAACAACCATCCATAACTCCACTTTCAGGGGCTATGACACTCTCTCCTGACCTCCTCAGGCATTGCAGACACGGATGTACTCAAATACATGAAGGCAATACACTCATACACTTAAAATAAAAATAAATAAAATATTTTAAAACAGTTTTGGTAAGTTCTCTTCTCCACAGTGCGACAAAATGCTGTAAACTTGAGGGCAACTTTCAGAGCACTGAAATCCATGGTTAAACAAGCTACAGGGACTGCCCCCTCCCTAGGCAATATTTGCTTAACAGGCACAGGCACACCATCCTTGACTACTTAGGTCTTCCTACCAGAGTCTCAGTCTCTCTCTCTCTCTCTCTCTCTCTCTCTCTCTTTGTAAGGATATTTTTAAATTAATTTATATTATTTTATTATTATTATTTTAAATTTTATGTGTATGCATGTATTGCCTGTGTGTAGGTAAGTGCACCCGTGTCGTGCAATGCCCATGGAGGACAGAAGAGAGTGTCAGATCCCCTGGAACAGGAGCTAGCCACCATGTAGGTGCTAGGAACTGAACCCAGATCCTCGGCAAGAGGGGCCAGTGCTCTTAACCACTAAGTCCTCTCCCCAACACGCTCTTCACCAACTCTTAACCTCCTCTTCCAGTACCCTGAAAAATGGCTATGCTTATCTCTTGAAGGCCTCTGCAACCCACCCACTCAGTACTGGCTTTAGCTATGGTACAGGAAGAACAGGTCCATGGATCCTGGCATCTACTGGGTGCCACTTCAAGCAGTATGGCTTCAGGCAACTGTTTAACCTTTCTGTGTCTTGAGTTACTACTTTTATAAAACTGGGGCAATAGCAGCACATAATTCACAGTTTCTGTAAGAAGTAAGTGAGTCTACATAATGGTGCCCTCAATAGTCCTCACACATTAGGCAGAGCTCACCACCTCACTATGACTTTTCAAAGTTCCCCTCTCTACAAGCCCTCTTTCTTGTCAATCAGGCCAAAGCATACCTACCAACTTCATGACTTATTTCAAGCTCTGCCTGCTTCACTAAGCCGTTTCTCCACATTTCACTAATCTCCTTCCTCTCTCAGCTCTTGTGGCATTTAGCTGACACTAAATGTTACTTACATAATTATTTCACAATACACAGATGGTTATTCTAGAGAGATTTACAAATTACTTGAAAACAAAGATCTTATTTCTACTCCCTCTTTATCTACCAAGTGTCTAGAATATAAAGACTACTAGTAAAAAACACTGAATGAAAATGTGTCAGCCTCTGCAAGCAAATTCAAAGAACAAGCTTACAAGTGAATGTACTGGTGATATTTTAAGCAATGCAACCAATAATATTTTAAAAGTTTAAAAGTAATTCAAAGGGCTGAAGAGATGGCTCAGTGGTTAAGAATACTGACTGCTCTTGCAGAGGACCCAGGTTCACTTCCTAGCACCACATGGCAGCTAACAACTATCTGTACCAGTTCCAGGTGACCTAATACCCTCTTCCAACCTCTGAGGGCATTACATACATAGGTACATATAGGCAAAACATGCATACATATAAAGTAAAATTAAAATTTTTTTAAATATTTGAAAAATTCAAATACATATTTATATAATTTCAAAGAGGCCACTCAAAATGAACAGAAAAAAAAATCAGTTTATTTTAAAAGTAAAAGTTATTCTGTAAGTAGTGGGGAATGGCTGGGGGTGCCGACAACACAGCAGACAGTTAAGTAGCAAGGATATCAGAGTATAAGGGCTCTAGTGGGGGGAGGGAGATGGGTGGGTGCTATCTGGGAAGTGGGTATAAATTAATTGATTAAAAAAAATAATAATTCTTCAAAGCATAAAAATTTGCTCCTTAATAATTGGTGGATGTGAAAAACGGGGGAAGAAGGCTGCCTACCTGACGAGTTTGTATTCATGCTCAGATGCTGAGGAGCTCAGAAGGTGGGCGACTGTGACCAGTAATAGTCATGTATATAGATATTAGAAATGCATGTGAAAACGTCTCAATGTCAATAGCCTTGGAATTAATTTTTCTGTATGAAACTGTGTTTTGACAACGAAGTGGAGATCTTTTTTAAAGTTTAAAACCTCATTTAATTTTATGCCTTATAGAGTTTATAACGAGTAAAATATTGTATAACTGTATTAATTCAACTGTAAACCTTAAACATTTACAGCCAATTTTGAAGGAGATACATCTTAGCTCTGGAAATTGTTATTGAATATTTCAATGCTGTTGTAATGAAATGCTTCTTCTGACTGTGTGGTTATTAAATAAATAATTAAAAAAAAAAAAAGTTATGCTGGTGCACATGCCTTTAATCCCAGCACTCAGGAGGCAGAGGCAGGCTGATCTCTGTGAATTCCAGGCCAGCTGGGGCTATAGGGAGATCCTGTCTCAAAAAGACCAAAAAAAAAGGTTATAATATTCTTTTTTGCTTGTTTGTTCTGTTTTCTAAAAAAGGGTCTCCCTATAGCCCCAGCTAGCCTGGAACTCACTAAGTAACTCTCAACCAAGATTTGCCATCCACTGTCTTCCAGGTGCTGGGACTAAAAGTGTATGCCACCATGCAAAAGTGCATTAAATGAATTATTGTAAGACACTCATAAAAACTGACTTCCTCCATAGAACATTTAAAAGTACCTGATGTAGCATCTTACAAACACATATGTATATGTAAACATACTTATATTTTAATTGTATAGTTTATAAGTCTAAAAAAATTCTTGAAAGGGGGAGTATAAAAATGAGTGTATAGCGTGTATTTGGAGTCTCTCTAAAGCAGATAACAATATTATTTCTCAAAAGGTGCTAAAGTTATGAATGAGGGTGATTCACATTGATCATGTAAGTAAATCTCATCAGTTTGGTTCTATGCATTTCTAATTCTCCCTCACCACACATTTTTCATACACCAGAATTTCAGAAGATTCTTGTTTAAACTTAATATTTAAGAAATCCAATCTTGGGCTGGAGAGATGGTTCAGCAGTTAAGAACACTGGCTGCTCCTGCAGAGGACCCAGGTTTGAATCCCAGCACCCACATGACAACTAACCACTATCCTAACTCCAGTTCCAGGGGATTTGACACCCTCTTCTGACCTTGGTGGGCACTGCATGACACAGGTGCACTTACATACATGCAGGCAATACATTCATACACATAAAATAATAATTTAAAAAAATTTAAAGAAAGTCCAATCTTATAAAGTGAAAAAATACCCCTAAGAAGTAAAATTAAATTTTATTACTTAAAAACTATATACATATATTCTTAACTTTATAGAATATTTTTAAATACTCACTTATATAGTGCATTCCTAAATTCAGGAGTCATAAAAAGTGTTTGTAAAAGACTGTTCAAATAGCAAGTCATTGCCTGGTTTACTAATCCCACGTATCCTTCAAAGAGAAAATACAAATACATACAAATTAGCATTTAGGTTAAAAGATTATATAATAAAAATATGAATTTAATACATAACAGATTCAGAGGTAAAGATGACTTAGTTGGAAATTATTTCTATTTCTTTCAATACCACCTAAGAGAGGTTTCTTCAGTAAGTACAATAGGTAAACTTTGTTTCCCAGAAAAACTCAGGACACCTTGTTACTGACATCCCCAGAGACACAAATGGATAGTACATGGTATTTAATAAAATGTCAAGAGTAATACATTTACTATAAAATGTCTTATTGGAGTGGAAATAATCTTCCCTGACTGAAAGTCATGGATTAAGATGGAAATGTCTGAGCATATTCACTTTACCATATATAACTAACATAGGCAGGGACCTTAGCAGACTGCCTGAGAGTGCCTGGATCCAGCCTCCAAGGAGGTGCGCTATCCCAAAAAGCACCCTGCACTGGGACCATGTGAGGCCCCTCCCATTTCTCCAGGGCTAGACCTTCCTGCCCTAGAGTAGGGGCTGAGGGCTGAGACCTTACCAGACTGCCTGAGAGTGCCTAAATCAGGCCCTCCCTCAGCAAACTTCCTAAATTGGGCTGTGAGTGCTTGCTAGGAGGGGTCCAAACATTAAAAGGAAGCCTGAATGTACCTGACTAGAGCCTAGCTTGGGCCTCTGTGGGGGCTCCTGAGTAGCTGATCTGAAGCCATCAGTTCCCGCCAATATAAAATCTTAGAGAACCTGAAACCTAGACCAACCAGCTTTACGTACCCAATAAGAAAACAACCAAGGCACACCAATAATACAAACAGAAGCAACTTCAACGCAACAAAGGAAGGCTTGGGTTTTATACCAGAATCACAAACAACAAAAGAAATCCACATGCCAAAATCACAACAGAATATTAATAATATGGAAAACCAAGAGTATGTTCCCACCAAATTCCACCGGCCCTATAGCAGAGTTCCACAAGAACCCCCTAGGGATAACCCAGGACACAGAATTTAAAAGAACAATCATGCCCAGCATGGTGGCACACACCTGAGGCAAAGGCAAGTGGATCTCTGTGGTTTCAAGGCCAGCCTGGTCTACAAAGTGAGTTCCAGGCCAGGTGGGGCTTCAGGGAGACCCTGTCCCAAAAAAACCAAAAAAAAAAAAAAAAAAAAAAAAAGAACAATCATAAACATGATCAAAGAATCCAACGAATTTAAAGAACACACAAACAAAACAAAGAACTAAAAGAAGACAGGGATAATCTCCTGACTGAATTCACAAGAGAGATAGAAATATTAAAGAAAACGGGCTGAAATGAAGAAGTGAAAAACTCAGTAAGCCTATTTGGAAAACAAAACAAAACAAAACAGGACAAAGCCTCACTGAGAGAATGAATAAAATGGAAAAGACTATCCACACTGGAGAATAAAGCTGAAGAACTGGACCACTCAAGCAAAGATTGTGAAAATTTTAAAAACACAGGAATGGAATATGCAAGAAATGTGGGACACCATGAAAAAACCAGAAATCGATGCATCATAGGTACAAAGGAAGGAGAATTTCAGGTTAACAGTACTGACCAGATCTTAAACAGGATTGTAGAAGAGAATCTCTTAAAACTAAGGAAAGAAATCCCCATACAAGAACAAGAAGCACATGAAACACCAAATAGACAGGACCAGAAAAGAAACTCCTTACCGTATTATCACAGTAAAAACATTAAATGTACAGAACAGAGAACATGAAAGCTGCAAAAGATAAACAACAACTCACATATAAAGAAAAGCCCGTCAGAATTACAGCTGACTTATCAATGCAAACTATGAAAGCCAGAAGAGCCTGGACCAGTTCTAAGTGACCATAGATGCAACCCGGAATACTTCACCCAGCAAACACTTCTATTATAGTTGAAGGGAAAGAAAAAAATCTTCCATGACAAATAGGCTGAAAGATACCTGTCCACAAAACCAGCCCTTCAAAGAATACTTGAAGCAATACAAAGAATGGAGAAAGGAACAACTATATTCCAGGGGCAATAGAAAGAAACTAAATTAAAGTATAATTGTGGAAAAACAAAATTAGACCAAGAATGAAAATAGTATCAAAATGATGGCAACCAAGCCTCATCTTTCAACAATAACTTTAAATATCAATGGCCTGAACTCCCCAGTCAAAAGAAACAGGCTAATTGAATAGGTTAAGAAACAAAATCCATCCTTTTGTTCTCTGCAAGAAGCCTATCTCACCTTCAAGGACAGGTACTACCTTAAGGTGAAAAGAAGAAAAAGAATATTCCAAGCAAATAGCACTAAGAAGCAAGCAGGGGTTGCTTCTATCTGGAATTCTAATATCCGGAAAAATCAGAAGATATAAAGAGGGTTACTTCATTCTGATCAAAGGAACAATTAACCAAGAAGATATTACAATCCTTAACATACATGCACCAAACTCTGGTATACCCAAATTCATAAAAACAACACTACAGGACTTTAAGACACAGATTAACTCAGTAATAGTAGGGGGGTTCAATATCCCACTGTCTCCATTAGACAGGTCAACTGGACGAAGAATAAACAGAGAGACATCTGAATTAAATGATACCATACATCAAATGGACCTAACAGACATCTACCAAATATTCCACCCAAGCACCAAAGAATACACTTTCTATTCAGTACCCCATGGAACTTTCTCAAAAATTGACCACATACTGGGGCACAAAACAAACCTCAACAAATAACAAAAAGTTGAAATAATTCCATGTATTCTATTAGACCACAACGTAATAAAGCTTAAATCAACACCAGAAGCAGCTCAGGTAACTTACAGGAATTCAAGGAGATTAAACAACAGGCTTCTGAATGATGAGTAGGTCAAAGGAGAAATTAAGAAAGAAATGAAAGTATTCATGGAATTAAAGGAAAATGACAATATAACAAAACCTCTGACACACTTTAAAAGCAGGCCTGAGGGAAATTTATAGCTCTAAGTGCCTACATTAAAAAAAAAATCAGAAACAGCACACATAAATGACTTAACATCGCAACTCAAGACTCTGGAAAGGCAAGAACAAATGAAACCTAGACCCATCAGATGAGAAGAAATAACAAAAATCAGAGCAGAAATTAATGAAACAGAAACAAAGAAAATAATACAAAGAATCAATCAATCTAAGAGTTGGCTCTCTGAAAAGCTAAACAAGATAGACAGACCCTTAGCCCAGGTAACCAAAAGAAAGAAAGAAAGCAAATTCAAATCAACAAAATCAGAGACGAAAGGGGAAACATCACAACAGACACCAAAATGATCCAGAACATTATAAGGGAATACTTTAAATACCTATGCTCTATTAAGTTTGAAAACCTAAAAGAAATGGATGGATATCTAAAATCATGGAACCACCAAAGCTAAACTAAGAAGACGTCAACAGTTTAAACAGAACCATAATACATAAGGACATTGAAACAGTAATACAAAACCTCTGGACTAAAAAAAGCCCAGGCCCAGATGGATTTGCAGTAGTTTAAAGATCTACAGCCAATGCTACTTAACCGATTCAAAAAGATAGAAGCAGAGAGAACTCCTCGACTCTTTCTATGAAGCCAGTATCATGCTAATACCAAAACCAGATAAAGACAACACCAAAAAAACAAAAACAAAAAAAACCCCCAAAAAGCTATAGGTTCATATCCTTAATGAACATAGATGCAAAAATTCTCAACAAATACTCACAAACCGCACACAGATGCACATCAAAAAGATCATCCACCATTATCAAGTTGGCTTTATTCCAGAGATGCAGGGATGGTTCAATATACACAAATCAATAAACGTCATAAATCATATAAATGGACTCAGACAAAAACCACATCGTGACCTCAACAGATGTAGAAAAGGCCTTTGACAAAATTCAACATGCATTCATGATAAAAGTCATAAAGGGAATTGAATGGGCGGGAACATACATCAACATAATTAAAGCTATGTACAACAAACTCACAGCCAACATTATTGTAAATGGAAAAAAACTGGAAGCATTCCCATTAAAAAAACTGGAAGCAGTGGAAAGAAATCCACTGGAAGCATTCCCAGGAGCCAGACAAGGATGTCCACTATCTCCACTCTTTCAATACAGTGCTTGAAACTCTTGCTAGAGCAATAAGAAAAGAGAAGGAAATTAAAGGAATACTAATTGGAAAAGGATATCAAATTATCCCTTTTTAAGTGGCAGGTTACAAAATTATTAATATAAGCAATCAGAGAAAGAACACAGGGAAACCCTCCCATTCATTATAGCCTCGAGGAAATAAAATATCTTGAAATAAACCTGACCAAAGACATCAAAGATCTCTACAATGAAAATTTTAAATAATTAAAGGAAGAGATTAAGGAAGACACCAGAAGATGGGAGGACCTCCCATGCTCATTGATCGGAAGAATTAATATTATGAAAATGACCATCTTACCAAAAGTAATATACAGATTCAATGCAATCCCAATCAAAATCCCATGACATACTTCACAGAATTTGAAAAAAAAAATCCTAAAATTCACATGGAAGCACAAAAGATCCTGAACAACCAAAGCAACCCTGAGAACAAAGAGCAGCGTTGGAGGGATTACTATACCAGATCTCAAACTATACTACAGAGCTATAGTCATAAAAAGCGCACAAAAATAGGCACACAGATCAATGGAACATCACTGAAGACCCAAACACGAGTACACATAATTTCAGCCACCTGATATTTGACAAAGGTGCCAAGAACACACAATGGAGGAAGGACGGCATCTTCAACAAATGGTGCTGGCAAACCTGGATCTCCACCTGTAGAATGAAACTAGATCCTTATCTTCCACCTTGCCCAAAAGTCAACTCCAAATGGATCAAAGACCTCAATGTGAAACTCGAAACTCTAAAACTGTTAGAAGAAAACACTGGCAGTAACCTGCAAAATATAGGTGTAGGAATGGACTTTCTAAATTGGACACCAGTTGCTCAGGAGTAAGGTTAACCATCAAGTGGGACCTCATTAAACTAAAAGGCTTCTGTATAGCAAAAGAAACAATCAAGAAAGCGAAGGGAAAACCCACAGAGTGGAAAAAAAATCCTTGACCAGTGACACTTCTGTAAGAGGTTTAACATCCAGAATATATAAAGAACTCAATAATAATAATAATAATGAAAACAAATGACCTTATTAAAAAATGGGCTAAAGACCTGAACATTGTTCTTTGAAGAATAAATAAAGAAGGCTATGAAACATCTTAGAGTTCAACATACTTAGAAATTAGGGAAATGCAAATTAAAACCACCTTAAGATTCCACCTTATCCCAGTCAGACTGGCTAAGATCAAGAGAACAAATGATATCAAATACTGGCGAGGAGGGAACACTTGTTCACTGTTGGTGGGACTGCAAACTCATGCAACCCCCTATGGAAAGCAGTTGGAGAACTCAAAAAACTAAACATGAACTTACCATGTGGGCTATGTATCGGAAATAATTGTGAGTTAATATTTGTAGTGTAAGCTGGTAAGAAAAATGTGAGAAAACATGTTCTCTTCTACAGGGCACAAGTAGTAAGAAATGGGACATAGGCAAACAAGGAAAGAAATCCACAGTAACTCCTGAGCAGATAAGGTAAATTAAAAGATTATTAAAGAAACTAGCCAAGACACGTATCATAGATTTAGTTTCTACTCAGGTGTAAATCCACACAAGTCTTCCATCCACTCCCTACCCTTCAAAAGTCACCCTATCATCCCCCATCAACAGTGGCTGGCTACCAGCATGAAGTGGTTGACAAAGGTAACAAAAGAGGTATGTGAAGTTCTCAGACCCATTACATTTTTGCAAAACTTATTCCTATAGCCCAGAGTTGAATCACAAGAGCATTTTCTAATGAAAGCATTTCATAAATGATGCCAAGATTTACAATAACTTCTTAAGAAGATTCAAATTCTACAATGACTAACAAAATTGGCTTTGAACCGAAACACTTTAGGATGCTTAGATTACTTAAAATAGGCAGTATTTGGGCTGGAGAGATGTCTCAGTGGTTAAGAGTGCATACTGCTCTTGCAGAGGACCCAAGTGCAGTTCCCAGTGCCCATGTCAAACAGCTCACCACTACCTATAACTTCAGCTCCAAGGAACTCAACTCCTTCTGGACTCTTCCGGCACCTGCACTCATGTGCAGATACACACACACTGATACATATCCACACACATAATTTTTAAAGAAATAAAAATAATCCTTAAAGAAAAAAAAGAGGGAGTACTCCAGAACACTGGAAGAAAATGCAGTTAGGAAAGTAGAAGTGTGAGGCAAAGTGGCTCAGGATGAAGATGAAGACTGATTACATGACAGTGTGCATCAAAGACTTCCAAAACTTCTCACAGATTTCACTTTAGTAATTCAATTTCTATGAATCTGCTTTATAGAAATAATCAGAGATGGAGACAAAAACTTCTGAATAAGAATTTTCACCATTTTTTAGATGTCAACTTGCCCCAACCTAGAATCACCTGAGAGCCTGAATGAAGGACTGCCTTAGATCAAGGTGGACTTGAAGCATGTCTATGCGGGATTGTCTAGACAGCTAGCCAACTGTTGACCTAGCCAACTGTGGGCAGCACCATCCCCTTGGCTGGGCCCTGGCCTACATAACTGAAGAAAGGAGCTGAGACCATGCCTGCACTGGTTTCTCTGCCCCTGACTCTGGATATGATATGATTACCTACTTGAGTTTCTGCCTTGACTTCTCCTCAATGATGGATTTTATTTTATTTTTTATTTTATGAGCTAAGTGTTCAGCCTGCATGCATTTAAGTGCATCCTTGCATGCAATACCCACAGAGGCCAGATGAGGGTTTGAGAGCCCTTGGAACTGGAATTACAAAAGGTTGTGAGCTGCCATTTGGATGCTGGGAGCCGATCCCAGGTTCCCTGAAGGAGCAGCCAGCGTTGCTCTTTGGTCAGTGTTTTACCACAGTTAACAGAAGTGAAACTAGAACACCACACTATATCAGTAATAATTAGAAATGTTAATACTAAGTTTATGCATGAAGTAGTATTTTTCAGTCTTTTAAATCCCATATTAATGTACTATATTAACCTATTTAGATAGGACTAAAAAATGCTACTCACATCATATTAAGTAAGAAATATAAACATCTGCTTATAAGGTTATCCATTTTTCGTTTTGTGTGTGTACATATGTGTATGCACACATGTGTTCAGGTACACATGAGTGCATGGATGCAAAGGCCAACATCTGGTGTCTTCCTCACGCTCTACCTTAAGTTTTTTTGCCCCTTTTTAAATCTTTTATATATTTTTATCTTCTGTGTATAAGTGTTTTGCCTACATGTGGTACAATGCCCAGGGAGGATTAACAGTGGCTAATGCAGTTGTTAGCCACCATGTAGGTGCTGGTAATGGAACCCTGGTCCTCTGCAAGAGCAGCCAGTGATATTAACCACGGAGCCATCTCTCTGGTCCCAACCTTAGTTTTTGAGACAGTCTCTCTCACTGATTTGGCTAGACTGGCTGCCAGCAAGTCCCAGGAATCCTCCTGTCTCTGCTGACCTTACAGATGTAAGCTGCTGTGCCTATCTTTGTATGGGTGCTGGGGAGTGAATTCAGGTCCTCATGCTTATGCAACAAACATTTTAATAAGTGAGCCATCCCCCCAGCCTCCAGTATCTATTTTCTTAAAAGCATATAGAGAGGAAAGATTGAAATGAGTAAAATAACTAAAAGTGGTTATTGCACATTGTACTGTTGGTGATTTTTATCTTTCTCCTTTTACAATATGACAAGCAGTATATATTAATTTTGTACAAAGAAAGAATACTTTTTAAAAATCATTATCTTAACCTCAAGGATCAGGCATTTGACAGCCACAGGGAGCTAGATGTGGTACACAGTACAAAGGCATTCTATAAATACGCCTTGCATATACTCAATTGTCAGAATGCATAGCAAATTATTTCAAGTACCCTGATTTGTTAAATCTAGAAGTTTTTCAAAGTATTCCAACAACCTCAGAATAATCTAGAAAGTATTTAAAACAAAAGAAAAAAACTTCCAATGTAATCTAGAGCAGCTGCACCAGCATTTTGGGAAATAAATCTTGGAATCTACCTTTTAAACAATCACCTTGAAATGATTTTTGAAGAGATTAAAAAATTGAGATTCTAAATAGTATAAATGGGAAAGTTTTATTATCTACTATCATCTGAAATAATTTTGCATTCTCTCTTTTATTTTCGTTGCCTCTCTCTCTCTCTCTCTCCCTCCCTCCCCCCCCCCCCCCCCCCCCCCCCCCTCTCTCTCTCTCTCTCTCATAGTTCACAGCAAGTGTGCCATCAATAGGGCTATGCTACATGCCGAACACCATCAGCCTCTACTCTTCTTTCCAGAGTAAATCAGCTACTAAGCCCTCACAATGATCGGCAAGGAAAAATTATCCCAAGTTTTATGCAAAATATGATAAATGAAGATTACAGATCACATTCAAACAAAGCCTGGCATGTAACTCTGTAGTTATACATTTATATGAGGTATTTGATAACATTTAAAGTCATCTGCTTTAAGTTCTTAGAGGACATATTCTGAAGCCACACTTTCCATTAAGTAGCTGCACAAAGGCTTCTCTCTATTGTTTCTGTTTCTTTCAACATGAAAAATGCTATCTAATGAAAAGGTTTATTGTAAGATGAATAAATTTCCACAAAGATTAGTTTGAAGAAAAGTGTTTTATCACACTTGGGAATAGAAAATGAGCTGCAACTTTCCCTTTTAATGAAGAGGTCTACAACTTGTGAAATGACTAAGAACAAGAAGAGCTAAGATGGAGCTCAATGGCAGAGTTTCTTCCAAGGATGTCCAAGGTCCTGGGTTCAACCTATCACCACATTGAAACAAACAAGAACATGATAAGTCCTATTTTAATATAGTATAGTATATATGGGGACTGGAGAAGTGGCTCAGTGATTATAAGCACTGATTGTTTTGCAGAGGACCCAGGTTTGAATCCCAGAGCTCACATGGCAGCTAACTTTTTTCATAACTACATTTCCAAGGGATCCAATGTCCTCTTCTGTCACTGATAACAATGGTGCTCTTACATACATGCAAAAAATACACGCATACACATAAAATAAAAAGAATAAATAAAATATTTTAAAAAATATATGTAAGACTATAGTCCATCCAGCATCTTTCAGGTCATCAATAAATAAAGGTAGTAACAGTAAAGACAACATGGGATGAAGTGGGACAATCACACAACCAGCAGTGCAGACTCTGCGGCTGACTGCTGCTAATCTTGCTCTGGGTCTTGGTTTTCTTACTGATAAAGTGAAGAGATTAGGCTTGAACTTGCTAGGTTATGATTTTATGAAAATATAACAGTAGGAGCTAGAGAGATGACTCAGCAGAGCACTAGCTGCTGTTGTAGAAGATGTGGGTTCAATTCCCAGCACCCACATGATGGCTAACAACCATCTCTAACTCCAGTTCCAGGGGATTTGATGCCCTTTTTGCAATCCATGGGCATTGCACGACACAGGCGACTTACATATATGTAGGCAATACACTCAACCATAAAATAAAAATAAATAAATGAAATAAAATAAAAAGAAAATACAACAGTAGCAAATCTTACCAGTTTCTGACTTGTTCAAAATTGATGTATAGGAGTAGCTTTGGCTGACATAATCACTGGTAGAAGCCACAGAACCTTCTCTTGGAAGTGGGCCAATAAACCTGTCGTGAACACTGTCATCCACATTGCTGGACTCCTCCTAAAACACAGCACAACCAGTACTTACTGACAAGTGACTGTGCTGAATGATGAAAAGCACCTGCTGTGGCAATGGTTCAAAATTGATGTATAGGAGTAGCTTTGGCTGACATAATCACTGGTAGAAGCCACAGAACCTTCTCTTGGAAGTGGGCCAATAAACCTGTCGTGAACACTGTCATCCACATTGCTGGACTCCTCCTAAAACACAGCACAACCAGTACTTACTGACAAGTGACTGTGCTGAATGATGAAAAGCACCTGCTGTGGCAATGGGAAGATGTATCCGAGGGGCTGGGGGGCTGGGGAGGGGGATTACATGCCTTTACCATCCCCTACAGGCAGTTCTGAGATGTTCCACACAGACCAAGAAGTGCTCATATTCCCTTTTAAATGTTTGATTTACGTGAGGAAAGGAGAAGTATGGCCCTAGTAGTCAAAAGTACCACCTCAAGGAGAGCCTATCATTCACTTTACATCATTCAGTTAGGCCTGGTAGGGGAGGGGTATTCAACTGTAGGATGAGGGAGCTACTCGCAGTTTCCAAAAAGAAACTTTCTATTATTGTGTAATATGTTGAAAAGGATCAAAGGACATAAACAACATAATTAGGATGAGCTGAAGAATAATTATTAAGCAATTCAAACTCTGAATCCAGAGTTCTCTAAATTAATAGCTAATTTATATTTCAAGTCACCCAAGACTAATCAAAATCTTGTGCTGCCAGAAAAATAAAAAGGTGAAATTCAGGGATGTCAGAAAGCACAGTCTGGTATTGTTGCAGCATAGACACATGGACACACTGTGTTTAATTACTATCTCCTGCTCCAAGATACATCTTCATTCACAATTGGTTTCTAAATGAAGGATATCGAACAGAGTATTTTTTTCTTAAGCAAAGCTTTATTGACAGCAAGGACTGAGCCTTCACTTCTGTCTGTAAAATAGCCAGGTAAATCAGAACTGGTTTTCTTAACTGTTTTTAACCTACATCTTTTTAATGTATTCTTATATAACTATCAAACAAGATTTACTTACCATAGTTTTAAATTAGAGGACAAAAGGTATTCTGAAGGTACAGTTTTTGTAAGTTATACATATGTACCCCTTCAAAGGTAAAAACTCTGGAAAACTGCCCGATTAGGAGTTAATGGATTAACCTCTAAGGCTACTAGACTAGATAAGAAAGCTTGTTCAAGGAAGAATGAACACTAAAAGAATGGAAGCAAAGGCTCTAACTGACATACTCATCATTCCAAAAAGACAAGGAAGGCTGAGTGGAGTGAGAACGTAATAAAAAAATTGATGTGTTTCAGAGCTGGCAAGTGAATGCATAACCAAAGGAAGGGCCACTGAAATACAGATCTTTATGATGTTTTAACCTAGACCTACCGCATCCCTGGTATAGCACTGATCTTGAAGACAGCAGTTTTGTGAACCCCAATGTTTCAACAGACTGTAAACAAAAAAGGCTACAGATGCCCAATGAATACTTGGGGCACACCAAAACAAAATGAAAAACGAATGGTATACTGCACAGTTATAAAACATCTCTTCTTCCTTTGGAAAACTGCATCCCTAAGTAGTACATGACAAGTGCACAAAAATTATGAATGTCAATCTTTCTAAATAGCTCACCAACAGTATTTGAGGCTGTTCTCCATCTTTATCTGTCAAATGCAGAAAGTTCTTCTTTCCTGGCTCAAAATTAGCATCAAGAAGAGACTTGTCACTGGTATGATCCAGTGGTGTCTATGGATATAAAAATAATATCTGAGATTATGAGAAAATTAATTGTAAATAATAAAAAGCATCAAATGCATATATATCTACATGTAAATAGCATTTTTTTCCCCAGTAATGATTCAGTTAAACTTTTCAGCTAGTTTTCAGATGAACTCATCTACTGCTGAGCTGGATGGCTAAGCCCAATGACAGCACACATGCTACAGGCATCCCAGAGGCTCACATTCCCCATCATGTAAAACCCTGCAGAAAGAAAGGGTTAAGAGGCCACATGAAGTGTCATGCATGCAAAAACCTATACATGTATCCCCATGTTTTCCAAAATGCAAGAAACAGAATATTTAATAGATTTTTCATAAAAAACTAAAGATAAGCTTATGTAGCCCACAACTGTAAGACGTTTGATACATAAATGAGAATTCCCAAAGGAGCAGCAGACTTACCATTCAAACCAAAGGCAGGCACAGTGGTTCATGCCTATGATTCCAGCACTCGGGAGGCTGAGGCAGCAAGATCACAGCACGTTCAACTCCTACCAGGGCTCTAGAGTGAACACCAGGTCACCTTGGCTACAAAGTGAGACCATGTCTCTCCCCTCAAATCACAAAATATGTATGTGGTATAACTAAAATATAACTAACACAATTCAACCTTCAGAAGGACCCCTGACAAAAGGGCTTCCTAGTAGAAGATATTCATTTCAAATTTACTGTCAGGATTCCAAGGATCCCAGGGGGGAAGTGACTACTTCTTTGAAAATAAAATATCTAAGGTTCAACAGTCTTCATTTAACTCAATTATTTTTGTAATAAAAATTAATACAGCATTGGATCAGATGGTAACCTAATCATATGTCTACCGAATAATCCTTCAAACTCCATGAAATGCTTGGGTAAGGGGATAGGTGGGGAGGACGTTTTAAAAGAAAAGGCTGGAAAGAGTGCAGGAAAACAGAGTACTATTAACACACCACGAATTCAGAGAAATTAAGAACCCAAAACAAATGTGACATATGGAAAACTAAAGCTAGAGGAAACCTGAGTTCAAGGGTATTTACAGGAGAAGACTGTGGTGGACATAAGGGTGGTAGAAAACTAGATGAAGGCCAGGGAGCCCATGTAAACTAGTGGGAAAGAGCATTCGGTCAGTTTTCCGGTGGGTCTGGCCTCTCGTCTTCCTCCTTGGACTGTGCAGAGGGCAACAGTATTTATTCCCAACCACAGGAAAACATAGACACTGGCCAGTAAGGCAAGACAGAGCTACACAGTCAGCTACTAATCACCTCTAGGCCCCACAGTCAGGAGCTCCGGGCACCACATCCTCCATCCCTTCTGCATGAAAATTAGAAACTGAATACAGCAAATTTAATCGGCCTCCACAGAGAAGTTGAACAGAGAAGTTAAAAAAGATTACTGAATATAAAGATGGGTAAAAAGAATCTCTAAACATCTGAGGCCATTGCACTTCTGCTAATGACACAAAAGGTATATTGCAATATCCAGACTTTAATATAATCCTGGCAACAATGGCAATAGTAACAGTTATAGGAATGTTGCTATCATTAGCCGCTTAAGACAGGTGCTTGAAGACTGAGGGTTTTACCGTATCAGCAGCATTGACTCCATTTCCCCATGCCAAATCAAAGGTTCCATTTATGTAGCCTACTTTGTTGGCCACATCTTCAAAGAGCTTTCTGACTGGGGTAGATGCTGGTAAATTTAAAGTGATCCGTTCATTCACTGTCTTTGAGTTAGTAGTATCTTGTATTATACATAAGACTCTAGGCTCTTCAGCAGCATTTTCTATCTGAAATTTAAAAAAACACACACACACATTTTCACTATTTAAAGTGAAACAAAAATAGCCATAAAATTTTATGATCAATATAAGAACCACAAAATATTATTTTCTCTGTACTGTTTTACTATGTATGAAACACAACCCAATGGATCATACCAAACATAAGCACCATGTTCTGGAAAATTAGTCATTCTGTGGATATTCACTTTCACCTTTTAAGATTATAAACAACAGCCAATAAGCCAGGAAGATTTTAAATTAAAAATTATAAAAATGGGGCTGGAAAGATGGCTCAGCGGTTAAGAGCAATGACTGTTCTTGCAGAGGACCCAGGTTCGATTCCCAGAACGCACATAGCAGCTATGAACCATCCTTAACTCCAGTTCCAGAGGAATCCGAAACCCTCTTTTGACTTCCACAGCATCACACAACACGGGTGCACTCACACGCAGGCAGTACACTCAAACATATAAAATAAAAATAATTTTTTTTAAATTATAAAACTTGGAAAGATGGCTCAGCAGTTAAGAGCAACTGCTGCTCTTCCAGAAGATCTGAGTTCTGTTCCCAACACCCATGTCCAGCTTACAACCACTTGAAACTCTATGGGATCCGACCCACTTTTATGGCCTCTGTGGGCAACTACGCATGTGTAGCATACACACACATGCAGAAACACACACATATAGGTAAAAATAAAGCCTCTTTAAAAAATTACAAAATTTGATCCCTAAAAATGTGTCCTTACCAAGTCTTTCCAACTATCAATCTGGAAATTAGGTTATAAATGCTCCTTCCTTTTTTTACCAGTAATTGTCAAGACAAAACTTTTTAAATGTTGTGCTCAAAAAAGGTATGCCCTCCCTTAAGCTCTCTAAAACATGGTTCTTCTTTCCCACTTCCCATGGTGTAGCAGTCACATCAACCACAGCTGAATGATCAGGTGTCTGATGGAAGAAGTTCTTCCTCCTCCTCATGTAACGGCCTCATGAACAGGTGCCACCTGCATCTGCCGAGCTGCTGAAACCAGAGTCCAGCTGAGCATCTTTTCACTTTGTCTCCCCTCTTTACCCACACCACCACCAAACCCTACCTAGTCTGTCTTCCAGACACCCCTTGCTCCTCTTTCTTCTCACCTGCAACAATCAGGATTATCGTACACCAAAATCATGGTAACAGGCTCCTGAGAAGTTTAACCTCTCTCAATCTTATCTCCCCTCAGTCCAGAAAGGCATTTGTAATACGTGAATTGGATGATGACTCTCCTGCTTCCCCTGAAGGATCTCTGACCATCCACCCCATTACAGGTTATTCAGAAACAATCTGTACACAGTGGCACTGCACATAAGAACCTTCTCCTCAGATACTGGGGATTGAATTTAGGGTCTCCTGCATACTAACCAAGCACTCTACCAGGGAGCTACTGCCCCAGATCCAAGAATTCCTTTTTCTCTAACTACAATAAACTCCAACCTTTTATTACTTCTACATTATCCATTTAAATAAAAATAAGTAGAATTACTATTTCTAACTAGTACTGAAAACAAGACAGCCACACGACTTTTGTCAGGTGAAGTAAAACTTGTAATTTGTTTCTGTAACATCAATTTTAGGCTTGTAAGGGATCATGTGAATTAAGGTTAATCCAATTCTTTTTGAACAGAAATTAAGTTGCTATAAAAGTATAACATAGAATAAATTGGCTAGCACTACATTTCAGATAATAAAAACTTTAATTTCTAATGTTAACTCACCTAAAAATGAAAACGAAGCCAGGTGTGGTAGTGCAGGTCTTTTATGCCAGCACTCAGGAGGCAAAGGCAGGCAGATTTCTGTGAGTTTAAGGCCAGTATGGCCTATTTAGCAAGTTTCAGGCCAGTCAGGGCTACACAGTAAGATCCCATATCTCAAAAACAAACAAGTAAACAAAGAAATGAGAAAAGCCCCTTTTGGGAAAAAAAAAAAAACCTACAAAATGAGCATTAATAATATGCTTCTGAAAAAGAGGAAAAGCCTTTAACTACATATTTAAGCTGTACAATAATGGATCACCCTATATATTTGAATTCTAAATTAAGAAACACATTGGACCTTTTAAAAAAATTCTGATCTATAATAAGAGTGAACTCAAAATAATCTTAAGTATTAAGCTTTTTGTTTGTGTGGTTGTAGTTTTTTGCGTTTGCTTTGAGACAAGTCTTGAGATAAACCCCAGATCAGGCTGGCCTGGAACTTTCCTGTCTCAGTCTTCCAAGTGCTAGAATTAGAGGTGTGCCTCATCATACCCAGTAAACATCATACGGCTAGACACACATGGCCAGTTATTTCCAGTTCTTGCCCTTCACTAAATATAAAGTACAAGTACTCCAGATTCCTCTCCTTCTACCAGGATACACATACGTTACTCCCACGAGAACCCATCTGAAGAACAACTGTGCCATAGGAAACCCAAAATTTAATCTCCTGTGTCCCTTTTACTGCTTTTAATGGCACTAACTCTTTTCTATACTACAATTATGCTGCCCTTTTAAAAATAAGAGTATAGAGATGTGGAAATTACTTAAAATTCTGTACAAGAGCTATCTACTAACATTTTGCTGAATACCTTTCGATGCTTTTCCTGCATGTACAATCAGGCTTCTCAAACACACTCAATCTCAGAAGACACATGCTCTTTTTCATCTTTAGCTATAAATACATTATTCAACTTTTCCTTTCAAGTTTTATCTAATTTATCATTTTAGCAGCTGAACAGTATTATTATTATTATTATTATTATTATTATTATTATTTTTGTCTGAGACAGGGTCTCCCTGTAGCCCCAGCTGTCCTGGAATTCACTATGTAGACCAGGCTGGCCTTGAACTGAAGAGTATTATTAATACACACATTAATAATAATTTACTTAATTCTATTTCATTGATTCTTAAGTTATTCTTTTCCTTTTTGTCTTTCTTATGAATGTGATACTGTGTCACTTAAAGCAAGACTTAAGAAACCTTCCTTTTTATAAACCAGCCAGCATGTAAGAAATTCAGTTACCTTGTGTGAAGGAGAACTCCTGGAAAGCAGCTGCACCTCAAAGGCTGGCTGACTGACTAGAACTGCAGTGCTGTGGAGAGGCTGGAATGCTGCAGGTCCTGAGCCAGAGTATCTTGGCCCATATTTAGCCCCCTTAATAGCCATGTATTGCCCTTGCCTATGTGAGACCTAACATCCTGTGACAGATAAAAATCCTTTCGAATATATGAACAGACCCCAAATTTCCACCAAGCAAAGGCTATCAGATAGCACCCCAAGGCCATCCTCAGAATTCTCCCAGTTTTGCTATAACCTACCTCTCTGACATCTCTACCAATGTATCTGAGCAATGTCTTCATGTATGGCTTTCTTTGTTCTATGACTACAAAAACTTCATGAACTATTACCACGCTGCAACATGGAACTTGGGATACACTAAATCTGTGTTCCTGGGCCATGGTCATTCATAATTGGCTCCAGAATAAACACTCTCTTATCCCCTCAGAGGTGAGAATTGTTTTCTGCGTCAACACCTGGGATTAGCATGCTGTGTGGAAGCCCTAGCTATCCACCTAGTTTGAAGGAGGCCACTAAGCACTGAGAAAGGCTTTCTTGGACATTCCTCCCAAGGCCAGCTACAGGCAGAAAGGAGCTAAGTCATGTTGCCTCAAGGAACAGAACCAAATAGCTAGGCCCTTACCCAATCCCATCCCACAGAATCCTGAGTAAATAAACTAATTGTTCTTTTAAGCCATTAAATGTTAGGGTGGGCGGTTACACAGCAATAGATAACAACAAACAGCAAAATATAGTTCAGCACATGCAAATTCTAGTCTATTATAGAAAGATTAATGGTGGCAGTACTGGTGGTGGGGATAGGAAGGCACCAGAGGATATACAAGATTTAGGGAAGGGAACAAAACCTGATGTCAAAA